GTTCAATACACACTTGTATTGAACAATACAGATTTTTAAAAATTATTTTATAAACTTGTCTTCTGAAGATGCTCTGTGTTGAAGGATCAGAGGATCTGTGTTCGCCTACTCCATCTAGGCTGTATTTTTGAGTGCAGATCCACTGAGAAACTTGCTGTTTCAGCAAAATTTAAGTTTAAATTTAATTTAAAAACAGTACCTTTGAGGTTAAACAAATGTTCATAAATAATTTCAATAAATTACAAGTTAAAAAGGGCATGGAAATTTCAGTTATTTGTTTCAAAAAAATATCAAACCGCGAGACTAAAGTATCGAACCGAACTGAATCGTGAATTTTCGGTATCGTTGAACCCCTAATATATTGTGTATGTATATATATATATAAATGAACTGTATGTGGCATTAACTCCTGAGCTGAAATAATTAGCTCGGGGGCTAACGCCATGCATCGTCACATACACTAAATTGCCAAAAGTATTGTTTCACCTGCCTTGACTCACATATGAGCTTCAGTGTCATCCTATTCCTCCTAGGGTTCAATAAGATGTTGGTCCATCCTTTGCAGCTAGAACAGCTTCAACTCGTCTGGGAAAGCTGTCCACAAGGTTTAGGAGTGTTTATGGGGATGTTTGACCATTCTTCCAGAAATGTGAGGTCACACACTGATGATGGACAGAAGGCCTGGCTCTCAGTCTCCGCTCTAATTCATCCCAAACGTGTTCTATCAGGTTGAGGTCAGGACTCTGTGCAGGTCAGTCAAGGTCATCCACACCAGACTCTGCATCCATGTCTTTATGGACATTGCTTTGTGCTCTGGAGCACAGTCATTTGGATGGGTGAGCAAAGACTTTTGGCAATATAGTATAGCTGCATGCATTATTTTGTTCTCAGCTTCATGTCATCCATCCCCTTGTGGCACAGGCAAAAAATTTTGCTCCCTCTTGGCATACAAAAGTACACCATATTGCAAAAAGCTTTTGCTTTGTGGCATAAATAACATTCAGACATCCATGTGTAAATGTATTTTTGTATGTCATTAAAACTAAATAGCCTCTAAATAGTTTTACTGTCTCGTTTTTTTAGTTGATGTAAATGTTACAACCTGTCAGAGTTCCCTTTAAATCCAGCCTTTCGCAAAGGAGCATCACATCTACCTGTATTTGTGTTTAATTTTTAAAAATATAGATTTTTTTTGAGTAAGCTAACTGCAACCAAAGGCAGCTGACCTCAGCCTACAGTGGGAAAAGCAGAATAGTAACAGCAGACTTTGGCATTTTAATCCTCCCTGAGAGAGAGAGCTCTGCCGACGGGCTCCCTGCCAACACCAACCACTAAAACTTTATCTGGCAGCAAACGAGACGTACAGGATACCTCCGCAAAACAGTCTGCTCCAAATGTTACATTTTGTTTCAGGCCAAACTGGCTGAAAAATGACAAGTGCAGTTATTAAATTATTGTTTTTATTTTCTGCACACATTTCTTTTCTTCCACAAAACTAAAATCCCACCTTTGTTTTGTTAGTCTGTTTTAATGTTATTTTTTTATTTTTTTGTAGTTGGTGACATTTTGTGTTAGAGAACAACACAAAGGTTAGCTTTAAGAGAAGCTGTTGAAATTGCAGAATAACACTTCTTTTTTTTTAACCCGGTTCAAGGTTTGAAACAAAAAGGTGCTGAAAATTAAAGTTTTGTCAAACGTAGCAAACACAAAAGTGGTGAATTTTACCAATACTGAGCTAAACTTTGGTGTGGTAGTAGCTGAGAGTCATCCCCAATATATACTCCGTCCATGTGCTAATAAATCACATAGATGTTTGATTAAAACCTTGGCATGCATTCTCAAAAATAGGGGTCCCCAATAGGATTAATAATTGGACCTTAAGGCACATATTTTTACCTTTTGAGGGGTGAAAGTTACATTTATACAGTATTTCCAAGTAGTAGTTAATGACATATATGTGTACATTTTATTGATTGTTTTAGGGTTCACTTTCAGAAAATAAACACCAAGGAATGAAAAAAATGCAAATAAAAATGTGATTTGTTGGTAAGTTTGAAGACTTATTTAATGACTGAATGGATATGGTTGATTATCCTTGAGCCAAAAATAAAGAAGAAGTGAATTTGTGCAATAAATTTTTTTAAATGTCTAACGTATTTAAATACAGTTTAGGCCTTTTTTTCTACATGTTATATGTTATTTTTGATCAAATATCGTTCACATTGACAAAGGAAGTGTGTCGTGAATTTCTTTAAAGAATTATTGTTTTGTTTGTTTGTTTGTTTGTTTGTTTGTTTGTTTGTTTGTTTGTTTGTTTGTTGCATTAAATTTCCCTGATAAATTAATTTTCTAACTTGGTTAAACAAAATAATTTGAGTCTTATTTTGAAATTCTTCCTGAAGCTATAATTTAAAGAGCAAAGTTTGGTCATTTACTGCAGAAAAACATAAATAAAACCAACATTTGATTTTTTTTTCTTTTTTTTTTTGCATGTTGCTTAAATAATGGAAAAACTTTCTTTGTTTTTATTTTCAGTTTACTATCAATAAAAAAAATAAAACATTTTTAATCTTGATTTGTCTTCCTAGATTCACATCAGACCACTATTTATGCAACAAAAAACTTTAACTGGAAGATACTGGTTGGAAATTTGGACCGACCAATCAGCTCTAATTGCAGAGTCAGTCCTCACCATCATCTTCATCAGGCTTTTATAGGATCCACCTGAGTGTGTGCAGCCTAGTGGAGCCTCCGTTCAGCCTGTCCTCCAGCTTTATAAGGAACTGCAAACAAAGGAAGATTGAGGTGTTCAGTCTCCAACACATTGTGTCATGGGCTGCTTGTGTCAGTTGGGGTGTGTAGTTCATTTTAAACATTTGTTTTTAACCCCTTGTCAGCTAATTTACTGATTGTTGAATATGTTTTCCAGGTGGCTTTTTCTCCTGATTGTGGCTTCAAACATAGAGGCTCAAAAGAAATACTCTTTAAGTAAGATTTGGTTGTTGTTTTCTTTAAATTCATTTTGTTAGCTTGTATGTATTTATCATCTTTGTCTCAGATGTCAGCACAAAATGTCTGGGGAATATCATGCGAGTGGATGTTGGTCCTCTTGGAGGAAATCTTTTGGAGGTTGCTGTTGTCATAAGTAAGCTGATGCTTTATGGGAGTTTATTTTCTTCTATATACTGTGATTTTTGTTTTAACTCTCCTGTCCTCCTCAGATAACACAGCTGTAGTCCTCACACCAAGCTTGGCAACACAGTGTGGCTTCAGCATGAAAACGGACAAGCTGGGGAACGCTTTGATTTATGTCTCCCTTCAGAACTGCTTTGCTCAAAATGTGGTAAAACTGTAGTCAGTCTGGGGGATTTTAATTTTATGATTTTTGTTTTGTGTAGTGTCTTGAAGCTTTGAGCTGTTTTTGTTGCAGGATGACAAAATGTTTTCTACGGCCCTCCAACTCCGAACGCATGGGAACCTGCACGAAGACGAGCTGTACCAGGTGGCTGAATCCTGCTATTATGATGCCTGGGCCTCCAGGGAAATAATCTGTGATTACAACTACATGGAGGTAAGCGGCGGCAGGAAACGGCTCTTCATTTCATCGCAGAGGAAGCTGACCGCTTCTTTTACAGGTGTCAGTGAAACGTGCGACTCCAGAAGAATATGCCATACCCCAGACCGGCCCAAGGTCTATTAGTCCCCGCCAAGCTGCAGAGGTTAAACAAGCTTTCACCTTGGTGACTTTGTTTACCAGATTCTGAAGGCTTCATTTCTGAATATATTTGCCTTCCAGAAACCACCTTTGGATTCAAGCTTCAGCTTGACGAACATTGTGTTTTTCACACCTGCGGGGGAGAAGACCATGAGTGTGACTACTGCCCAGAAAAATGGTTACGGCATTGGAAATACTCCAACAAGGCTGGTTCTTCGAAGTCCAATGGGGGCACCAGAAATGTTCACCCAGGATGTAAGCAAAAAAAACTTGACTTGATAACTAGATTTAAATGACTTAAACTATTGACAAATTGCTTCTAGGCAATTATTAAACCAAACTGCAGGATTTTAATTTTTAATCTATGGATTATAATTATAGCAGACAACTCCATATTCTGTTATGGTCTGCTGGGTGGGGGGCTGGATCTACTGAAAGGAACAGGATGGAAAAACTGGTACAGAGGTCAAGCTCTGTGCTGAGATGTCCTGGAGCCTTTGGTTGTGATGGGTGAGAGTAGGATGTTGGCAAATGACAGCTGTTATGGACAACCCCCACCACCCTCTGCATGAAACCGGGGGGTGGGGGGGGCTGAACAGCTCCTTCAGTCAGAGACTTAAACGTCCTCGCTGCAGGATGGAGCACTTCCGCAGGTCATTCATTCCAACTGCAGTTAGACTGTACAACACATCATGATGATATCAATCACTTGGACAATTCGCCTACACTGCCATCACTAATATGTACCTTCATTTACATTTTTGTACTGTACTTTGTGTGTATATATGTACATTACTATATCACGTGTATATTGTGGGGTTTTTTATTTATCTTTTTCTCAGCCTCTTATCAAGTATCTTGCTGGATTTTTGCCCTCCAGGTAGGAGGGGTTCCCATGAGGGTTCTGAAAACTTCAACCATCTTTGAGAAGCAGTGGTTGGCAACTCAAATTGATGTTGCAGCTGCTTGCCCCACACAGGAGGGTAAGGACACATTGGACAACATTTAACAGTAGCATCACCATTAATTAAATCAGAGCTAACATTTAGATGACTTTGCTCTAGCGTCCCTTCTGGACTGCAGGGGAAATGGTCCAGAAAACTCTTATACCCATTTCAGGTTTAGCTGCTCAAGTCCATTTTATTACAGGAAGCGTGTTCATCACTCAAACCACAATCACCTGGTACCTGCCCCGTCGGCCCGATCCAATCGCCACTTCTGGCCAGTTCAACCTGCTGATGGTGCAGTTCGGCATCAATGGTCAACGGCTCAATGCTGCCGAGATGCAGGCCCAGCAGTACTCTGTGGTGGTCAACGACTACTTCATCGTCACAGAGATTCCTATTGGAGCAGCGGGCGGCTACTACAAGGTGATCTGCGCGCTCTTATTGTAAAGTTTTGGGTTGAATATCTGTTAAAGAATCTTTCTCTGCAGAGTCATGTAAAAGACAACCAGTACTCCGTCTCATACATGATCGAACCGATGCTGGAGCTGCTCTGGACTGAGGAGGCCACTCAGGTGGATACGCGATACAAAGTCTTCTTTCACATTGCCACTCACTTGATGCCCCAGCCTCTTCAGCTCATTGACAGTGGGTAACTGTTCACTTTTTTTGCTTTGTTTTACTGCAGCTCCACGCTGATCATGTCTCGCCTCCTTCCACAGATACAGTTCCAGCAGAGCAGATGTTTAAGCTGATGCTGGGGCAGTTTGCGACCGACGTGGTGCTGATCAACATCACCTTCCCCTCGGAGGTCTTATCCATGGCGGACTGCAGCGCCAGAGGTTTTAACATCATGGAGCACATGTCTCCCAGCAGCAGTATGAAGATCTTCACCCTCCAAGTGCCATTTACAGACCCAGTAGTCATTCAACAGGTAACCTTTGGTTTAACCAAAGAACACATTTAAAACTTTAAAATGACTTGGTTTTCTCTCAGACAAAAGGTGGCATGTTGGCTTATGCTCTTCACCTGACCTTCGGCTTCATGGTTCTGGAGGATCTTGTTCCCTTTGCTTACACGGCTTATGTGGAAGCTGCTGTACAAAGCATGGGTCAGTATTTAACACCATAATTCTGAGCTTGCTGTGTTTGAATCGACCTAAACGCTTGTATTAAACCCCTTAGCAGTCCCTGTCCCACCCTCTATTACCGGTGGCTGTGATAATCAGAACTTCTACGTTCTTGTGAAATACGGGACCCCAGGCTATAGATTCCAAACTGCAGTTGGAAAGCGCTTCGTGACGCCCAATTTGGCCCAGCAATATGGCTACATGGAGAACAAGACGCACTTCAGTTTTGTTGTGCCGTTTACTGCTCCTGATGTTGCAGTCGAGGTATTAAACTGGAATTTTAACTTGAAAATGAATCTTTAGCATTTTTGACCCTTTTTCTCCCCCTTCCTCCAGGCTATTGAAGAGTCTTCCATCAGGTGCAGGCTTGATTTGGTTTTAAGCAATCCAGAGAACAAAGCAAAAATCCAGGACTTCTCTATGGCTTGCAACTTTCCCACAACCCTGACTGGTGTGTCTTCAATCTTATTCTTCACCCATCTCTGGAAAATCCAACTAATCCTTTTTTTTTTTTTTAACTTTCAGACTGCTTCCCAAATGGAACAATGACTGCTCTGGCTGTTAAACTGGAGTCGGTTCCATCTCTCGACCCGGCTCAGCTCACACTGGCAGACCCCACCTGCGGCCCCTCTTACAGTGACGACCGCTACGCTTACTTTGCTTTTACTGTCAACTCATGTGGGACCACCAGGAAGGTAAAGCTTTAAATTATTGACACCCTTCCATAACAAGCCTTCTAACTTGACCCCCCCACCCCCTTCTGTAGTTCTTGCCCAGTGGCATGCTGTATGAGAATGACATCTCCCTGCCGGATGCTGTTGTCATGAGAAAAGGCTTGAAGTCCGAGGAACCGGAGTATCAGTAAGTGTACTTAAAGTCCAAAATGACCCTTAAAGCCAGTTGCGGTAATATTTCAAATCTGTTCCTTCAGTTTAAAGGTTTCTTGTCTGTATGACATCAACACAAGCCAGGCTGTAGCTTTCAGCACCAGAGCTCGTAGGAGTGAGCCGTACGCAGAGGATGCCAAAGGCCAGCTGCAAGTTGTGATTAAACTTGCTTCAGGTATCACTTGCTTCAGCTATCACTGACAACAAGTTGACATTGAGGATGGAAAGTATTAAAAGGTGCAGTCTTGTAATCTTTTCAGATGACTCCTACAAAACCTTCCAGAATTTGGAGGAATACCCCATCGCCAAATATCTGCAGCAGCCGTTGTATTTTGAGGTGGAGCTGATGGGATCTGCAAACCCCCAGGTGTCTCTGCAGCTGGAGAACTGCTGGGCAACTCAGAACGAGAACCGGACATCTCAACCCAGATGGAATCTGATCATAAACGGGTAACTTGTGTTAACTTGAGCCTGAAGTTGTTAACCTGATTTTTTTTTTTTAATTATTTATTTTTTAATTATCAAATTGTTTTCCAGCTGTCCAAACCCAGTGGATCCATATCAGGTGGTCTTTCATGAAGTCTGGACTGATTCAAGGGTCAAATTTCCATCCCACGTGAAGCGTTTTGAGGTCCAGATGTTTGCCTTTGGTGATGAAGATGACATGAACAGCCAGGTATATTTAACAAAATAAAAGGTGGGTTTTTTAATGACTTGGCAAACAACTTTTTTTTTTTTTTTTTTTTTTTTTTTAAACAGCAGGTCTTTGTTCACTGTGATGCCATGATCTGTGACACCAAAAATCCACTTGGTGGAATCTGCACTGGCCAGTGTCCAAACCCTGACGATGGAACAAAAGGTAAAGTTGGGGGTTTATGCTGTAGTGTCAACATTTAAATTGCTTCTAAACTTTGTTTCTCCACAGATAAGAGACGTGATCAGACTACTTTTGAAAATGTGTCCATTGGACCAGTGACCTTTAGCCAATTGAAATAAAGAACTTTTTTTTTTAAATGATTCTTGCAATTGTCTGTCTTAACTTTCCACAAACTGTTCTGGGAGTTTAATGACCCAAGTGTGGGAAAAATGGCAAAGCCAGAATTTCATAACCTGGATGTCTTTAGCCCACTGGTAATTTGAGGTTTCTCTACAGTGACTAAAAGCTTGATTTCTGTAAACGATCCAGACAGCTGGGCTAAGGCTTAAAAACAAAACAAAAAACTTTTGGTTCAGATCAACCAACAGCACATAATTTTAAAACTTGTCAGTGGTAAAGTTCCAGTCTTCAAGATATCTGCTGGGTGAGACTAAACTGGCTACAAATTTAAATGGAGGCAGGAAAGAGTTGTGCATTGGTCTGACTAAATCAACAAACTTTGTGCAGGAGATTTAACTGCCAGTGGGGTTTTAGGAGCCCTGCCCAATGAAGTAGATTAACCATGATGCCTTTAAAATTGGTAAGCGTATGGCTTGATGTGTTGACAAGTTATCGTTTCATTACATTATGCTTCACCAGCTAACTGTAAAGTTGCCGTGTAAATATAGCCACTCTGCAACTTGTCTGCTGTGCCCAAAAGCTAAAACCTAATTTGGAGTCAACCCAAGGCTGTTGCACCCAACTGACCTTGGTAAACACAATGGCAGCAGTCATTAACAGTGCTAACATTTTGCAAATGACATCAAGGTCTTTAATTTAGTTTAAAACACTGGTATGAGTGTTTTCAGTGAGCAGTACAGATAATTTATTAGTTGCATCACTTGTCAAATGAAGTGGGTGGTATAAAAGGAGCTGTGGAGCTCTTACCTCAATTTGTGTGGTGCGTGCTCAACGCTAACTTGGGTCCCCTCTTCTGGCATCGTTATCAAGTTGCTAATATTTGTAGGTGAAGGCCAACTTGTTCTCGTGTCAAAAGGCAGGTAATTAAGTTCCCACTTGTCAGCTGAATTTCATTGCATTTTAATTCAAGAGATCACTGAATCCTGTAGCTCGCCTCCTGATATTGGACCACTGCTGTTTTGTCTCCTAACTCCTGCTTGACTCAAAAGTTTTTGTCTCTGGACCTTCTTCCATGCTGCACATTTATTTCATCACACTGACTGTATAAGCAGAAATCATCCCAACAAATCCTGATGAATTTATCCAATTTTTAATCCACTCTACGAGTTGATAAATTTCCTGCAAACATGTTGGCTGCATCATTTCCACAATAAATATGATCCAATATTAAACGTATTGATTATCCCATCAGAATTTTCACCTCTTTGATAAAACAATGAGGCTCATACAAACATTAATACACATGCCTTCATACCGAGCCTTTGCTTTGTAGATATTTATGTTAAATGTCTGTGGGAAAAGGAGGAAAGCCCCTCTGAGTGACTGCAGTGGCTCCTCATCAAGGCTCTGTGAGCGGTGTGTTCACTAATGGATCTCTGGCTGCTCGCCCAGATCGATCATCAGGCCTTAATGCTGAAGAAGTTCTAAATTTCAACAAATCAGGAGCCATTCTCCTGATTACAGGGCGGCTGAAACCGAGACGCCCTCCCGCCAGGATGCGGCAGAGATGCTCCATCAGGGTGAGGGGGTCGTCACGACGCAGGTGGAGGTGTGACAGGCAAAACATCCAGACTCACAGTAAACTGTGAAAAGAGGAGATAAATCTGAGCATCCTGACTAATACATCACCCGTGGGCTGAGAGGAGAAGGCTGCGTGTTGATGACTTTTTGATGGATGACTGATTTAATTTCCATCACATCTGAAGATGGATCACAGCAGGATTCAGAGGGACGGTGACCAACGTCCTGCAGGAGAGGAAACATGCTGACGCACTTCATGTATAATAACTTTTAATTTTGTGCAGAAGAGCCTATTTATTTTTGTTCAAGTCAGTCTCCGTAAAACTTAGTTTAAGGATAAAAAACAATCCTTCACAGTGATTGTTCTTAACTTGAAGCAACAGTGTCGGTATTTACACAATTTATGGGATATGAAAATGTTTTGGAAGATTATTGAACGTATGCCCATATCTCTATGAGACAGATGGTTTTATTGCTATGTAAGCGTAAAACTGTGCCCTTTTATGTACAGTAGACTGCCTTTGTTAAGTCAAAGTGGGCCGGGAGCTCGTTTTAGAAGATGGGCACAAGTCAGGAAATGAGTTTGAAATTGAGAGCACTTATAATGAGGTGAGTACATTTGGCCAGGCTGCGACTCCCATCTTTCACTCATGACTCATTTGTTTATTCATCATGGCTTTGATTATTTTAATTTTTTAAGTTTCAATTTTTTGTTTTAATTAATTGCATTTGTTCAGGATAATTTGCATTTGAAAGACCTCAGTCTTAATGTATTCAAATGGTCTCCAAAGAGTTTCCAAAAATGTCTTCAAATAGTCTAGAAAAAGTCTCAAAAACACCATGTAAGCATAAAATGGTGCAGTTTTATGTACAGAGTGGGCCAGAAGCTTTTGTCCTTCTGTAAGAAAGGAACAGGAAATGAGTTTGAACTTCACAGCACAGAAGCCAGACTGCAACTCCAACATCTTTCATTCAAGACTCGTTTACATCGGACGTTATCAGTCCATTAAATGGACGTTATTAGCGGTTATCAGTCCCATAGAATGGCTTCAGACTGTCCTGACTGTGCCTTCTAGCGGGTTATCCATAGAATGGCTTCAGACTGTGTACCTACTTATACGTTGGAAGGCAACAATCTGCCGGTCTACTTTAACCTCGCCCATGTAATTTTTTCTAAAATTAACCTTAGTGGCTTTATGCCTCATATTAACCAGCTGACAGTCTGAAGTCATTCTATGGGACTGATAACATCCGAAATGGGTGTTTACAGTTACAGCTAAGATGGCTCTTAAAGTTGTTGTTTTTGTTTTTGTGAAGTCAAAGTCACCTTTACCGTGAAGGATAGGTTAGATGGGCAAACATTATTTCTACAGTTAGATAAATCATATTTTAATTCCCCTATGTCTCCATAATGCTTAATCCTACATTATACAACAGGCTTGTCTTCGCCATATAAAGGATAAAAGAATCTTCTTTGTTATGTCAGACATTGATTCAATCCAGCCTTCATTCTTGATGCTTTTGTTCAGGATAATTATATGCAGCTCTTGGCATCACAGGTGCATATTTATAATTCTTTGGTTACATTTGCATGGAAGATTGTATACAGTATATCAATACTTACATGAAAATGTATTTAATTCATTCCATTTGCTTTCCAGATTCTTTGTGTTTTATGTTTATGAATTGTTTTACTGTAGTTTTCAGTCTTCTTGTATAAACACTGATTCAGCATTCATGGCTGTGGTTGCAGCCAGGTTAAATGTACTCGCTCACTATAAGTGCTCTCAATTTCAAACTCTTTTCCTGACTCATGCCGATCTTCTATAGGAGGACAGGTACTTCTGGCCCTTTGTAATAAAAGCACTCACACAAGGGCACATTTACTGCAAAATCAGGATTCACACTATTGTTTACCTGGGAAGACAGGTTTTCTTTGTTTTCTTGCCTTGGTTTCTTCCTGCAGACCAAAAAGCATGCATGTTGTTAAGACTTTGATTTAATCATTGTATTAACCACTCTGTTTTAACCTATAAAAATGCTTATTTTATTTTTTACTGTCAAACCCTTCAGGGACTCAAGTGTTATGAGTGAGGGTATAAATTGTAGAGAAAACAACTCTGATCAATATTTCTTCAAAGAACAGAGGTGATTACCCAGAACGATGCATTGATGGACAAAGAGCGTTTTCTCTGAAGGACAGGACTCGTAAACTGTGCCAGAAAAAATCTCTCCAGCTCCTCTGAAGCTACTGGATCCCGCTTCCTCCAGAGGTCATTTTTGTTCTTTTATAGGCAGAGATCCTGCGGATATTTAAAAAAATCACTATGTTATTAAATGTCCATTCTTTTTGTTGTAATTTTGCATTATTTGTAAATGACAAACCTGTTTCTGTGTATTCAGATCTAGTGTTATCAATCTATTTAATTTTCTCTTGGCAATAATGACTAGCAACCCAGAGGTATTACATGACTTAGCTGGTGGTGTTAAATTGGTAAACTTGTATTATCAAAAGAGTCTCCAAAAAGTCTGAAATTAGTCTCCAAAATGTATTCAATGAGTCTCTAAGTCTCCATAGTCTAGCTAGTCTCATCTTCTTTAAAGAGTCTCCAAGAAATCTCTAAAATGTATTCAAAATGTCTTTAGACTCCAAAAATGTCTCCAAAACATCTCAAAAAGTCTACAAAATCTTAAAATGTCTCCTGAGTACAAAATAGTTAAAAATGTCTCAAAATAGTTTCAAAATAGTCTCAAAGCAGTCTCAAAATAGTCTCCCAAAAGTTCCAAAATTAAAATAGTCTCCATAAAGTCTCAAAAGCTTTTAAAATAGTCTCCAAAAAGTCTCCAAAAAGTCTCAAAATGGCTTCAAAAATGTCTACAAAGAGACCTGCAAACTGTCTCAGAAATAAGTACTGTAAATTTAATTTATGTAGCATCTTTCTTGGACACAAATATCACAAAGTGCTTCACACAGAGCTAAATAACTAAAAACAATAACAACAAAGAAACAGAAAACAGACTTAGCTAAAGGTCTATCTGAAAAAAAAAAGTCTTTATGTTTCTTAAAAGGATCTGTAGAATCTGAACAGCTAAGGGTCAGTAAAAGACTGTCCCAAAGCCTCGGGGCCACCGTCTGAAAATATCTTCAGATTTTTCAAAACGTCTTTTTATAATATTTACAAAATCATATTTTATTCATATAAACATGTAAAAATATGTGGTTATGTACAGAAGTTAGTACCTTATCTCATCAGTTTAATCAGAATTAAACTCTATTTATCCAGATTGTCCAAAGAGCTACAGTGGTTTGCAAAAGTATTCATACCCCTTGAACTTTTCCATATTTTGTCACATTACAACCACAAACATAAATATATTTCACTGGAATT